CAAAGACAGGAAACATTTATTCCACAGCACCATGTCTCTTAATGTTAAATATTAATTACATAAACACATTACTACTAAAACACATAGAGTGGCTACTGTGATGAACTCCAACTCTGTAACAACTGGTATTACAATGAACTTAAAGAACAGTATTAAAGTACCCTGTAATAGCCATTACATATAGGCAAAACAGATTAAATCAACCAACTGTATAACCTAAAGTAGTGTCATAAAGCAATTAAAATCATTTAACAACTATAAAACTATTTCTTCTTTCCATTATTCCAAATAAATTCATGTGAAAAATTGTTTGTCAGTATGCATTTTTCATCTATATTGGGTGAAATTTTTTAACTTATTATTTCCCAATTTGTTATGAACACTAGGCAGTGTGAACAAAAAACTAACATTACTGAGTACAGTGCAAACTTTAAAGATGCCATTACTTAGTTGAATTAAGATATTCTTTGCATGGATCTGTTTTACAGTCACAGTTTAACCTTTCATTAGTGACCAACAGCATTTAAAAATTCCATAAGCATAAATGTCAACCTTTACACAGAGTACTATATATGAAATATGCAGTGTCAGCTGGCCTGACTGTAAAACCTCAGGACAAGCTACTGTAGTACACTATTTCTCTTTTATCCACGTCTTAGCTAAACATTATTAATCAATAACAAAATAATGGTTTTCAGTTTTTACACTGATTCTAAATCACAAAAAAATATATCCTGCAGCATATAGATGTAATGTAGCATTTTGTTGAATTTGCTGTTTCAAGAAATACTGTATTAGTAAAATGTATAATAAGGCTAAGGTAAGGCCACTTTAGTGTTCCATTCATATCACCTCCAATTTTCATACTTTCAACAATTAAATGCTTCTTTGTTGGCTTGAATAACCACATTCACAAGCTTTGGTAAAGAAAATGATGCATCATCTATACAATATAAACTAATGTGATTCCAAACAGGCGTTTCAATTGTGCCATCCCAAAAATATTTACTTCCAGTAAAACAGGAAAAAAGCATTCACAAGAGCCCTACATCTCTGCTTACAAATCATAAGCTTTGTATATGTACAATTATTGGAATAAAAAGATAAGCAAAGTTTTAGGTCTAAATTTGCTATGATAAATTATCTTATATGCTGAATTTAAATACAGTACACAAGGTTGAGGGTCTTCATTAAATTTTTTAATCTGTATATATATACAGTATATATATAAATATTTTAATCATGATTAATCTAGAAGATAAAAATTTAACAAAAACCTTTGAGTAATTCTTGATAAGAATTTATTTTTATCTTAAGTAAAATACCTCAAATAAAATATCCCTTAAGAAGACCCTAATGAATTTGTGGCATTCTGAAGAAATTCAGCTAACACGTTCCACATAGTTTGCAGGTAGCATGCCTGTAACTCCAGTACGTTGAATTGTGCCAGTCATCCAACCTTCATCAATGGCTGTACAGTTGATTATGAGGTCTCCATCCCTGAAGCTCACTTCATCGGTGTCAGCAGCCTCATAGTCATACATAGCACGATAACAGCGCTGAAAAAATTATAAAATCCACTGTTAGTAATCAACTTCTAGCTGTTCTTATGGAAATCTTACAACTGAAAAGAAAATACTCAAATTATAGATGCAGCAGAGCATCAAAAATGCAGAATCTTTGGTATCAAGCCATGCCTGGATTTCTGATAGTTCTGGACAAATGACCATTACTAAAATCAGATTCAAGGTTTAACTGCCTTAATGTTTTCTGCTTTAACTAATGTATGGGAATATACAAGTCTCTTTATTGAAAATGCCCTTAAAACTATATTTTGGCCTTCCCATTAACCCTGAAACTGTCACACGCACTGATCAATGGGTATGCATATACTGCCACATGTGTATATCACGGTTTAAATTCTAGCTCCCTCAAAATGGCTGTGATCGAGAATTTTAGGCCTACATGGGTTAAAGTAGGCCTGCATACCAATAAAAAAAGTCCTCCGCCACTTTGGGAACTGTGGGAACAGTTTGCCTCAAAGTAACATACCAACATCTTCTGTAATTGACATCCCCCTCACTCCACAGACTATTGTCCATTTGCCCAGGCTGATGGTAGTAATGACGACCATGATGAGGACATGGAGGTGTATGAATATGAAGATGAGGAGAATGCTGCTGCCACTACAGATGCCCCATCAAGCAACGAAAATCCTTGTGAATTTTGAAGTACTACATAATGCAACTTCCTTCCACTGAGAAGAAATATGCCAGATGTGTTAGCGTGTTCTAACACCACCAGAAAAACAAGGAAATGCAGGGACACAAGATTCGTGTGTAAAACTTGCAAAACTCCACTGTGCATGGAGCCCTGCTTTGAGAAGTTTCATGAACTCAAGTAACTGCAGCTGGCATAGTGAACAGTGAGTGTATAGTGAATGCACAGTGCATATAATATATACGAGGAAAAAAGTACAAAGAGTGTCAGTAAAAATTTTGCTAAAATAAAAAAATAATTAATGAACAGTAGATATCCTGTAAAAAAATGTGGTCTAGAAACATATATACTAATCACATATGTAAATTTTGAAAAGAAAAAAAATTAAAAACAAACAAAACTGGCCAAAAACCTAATAGTATGCAGTCACAAGCACAACCATGTTACCATATGAAACTTTAAACAACTGTTTTTTGGTAAATTTGAAATCTATTTTCATGTTTTTAAAATATATGTAAAATCAAGGCCAATGTTTTTGATAAAAAAAAAAATCCAAAAAATATTTTGGCACAACAATACAATGCCATTTTACCCCCATTGGCAGTTTAAGGCTGATAGGAAATTTAGATTATGAAATTTCACTTCTCAAAGAATGTACAATTTATAGCCAAATATATGGCATGAACAGTAAATCACATTCACTTATATCACGACCAACCTCGGTGGGATACGGCTGGTGTGTTGAAAGAAAGATCATGACCAAATGAGCTATGAGATATAAACTCTTACTGACCCACCCACAGGCTACAGACTGGTTCATATCTTGACTAAAATCTCATAAACATTAAGTTTATCTATATAAACAAGAGGAACAAAACAAAAAAAATGGCTTATCTGGCTGGCTGCTGAAATGTTGATAAATGGCATCTCCCTGCCAGTTGCTCTTGGAGCAAAGCCATAGAAAATACTGTAGGATCTACTAGAGGAAACAAAAAGGGGGGAAAAAAAAGGCATATGGAACTAAAAGTAAAGGAGTAGCACTACTTTACTGGCATAATGTTATAATGTTATAACCAGGTGATTCACCAGAACCAAAAAAAATAAGTAATATTGATATACATATATCAAATAATTTTTTTTTTTTAACAAGTCAGCCGTCTCCCACCGAGGCAGGGTGGCCCAAAAAGAAAGAAAATCCCCAAAAAGAAAATACTTTCATCATCATTCGACACTTTCACCTCACTCACACATAATCACTGTTTTTGCAGAGGTGCTCAAAATACAACAGTTTAGAAGTATTGTGGAGAAATTTTCTAAAGGAGGGGGGTATCAGCCCCTTTCAGCCCTGAGGGGCCCAGCCCTCTCAGAAGGGGCAAATATCTTGTTTACTGCTACAGCGAGTAATTGATAGCAGATGCAGTATGAGTATGGGACATGGTCGCTTCGACCGACGCTCTTTGCAGTGTTGCAAAGTGTAGTTTAATAAAAGACAGTTCATCCATTACCTTAGCAGGACAATTAAGGTAAATCCTGCTCCCACTTTATTACCATAGTAAAGATAGTGGACATTGTTGTCTATGCTTAAGACAGCAAGAATCAAACATTCTGCTTTGCTTCATCGAGGAAGTGGCAAGGAAGCAAAAGTACTATGTCAGCTTTTCCTTTGTGCAAGGGGCAGTAACGGCATGGGGTGCTGTGTCGTCTTCAGATTACTTTTGACTCTACTGAGAGTGACACTGACGCCAGGATAACCAACAAAGAACACTGATCCGTGCGTTAGTGTGAACAAAGTATCTCATAAAACACAATAAACACTTAAGAGAAGTGTGATCAGCTTCTTTAGTGATAAGATTGTGAACAATAAAGACAAATCTTGTGGAACATAGTGTACCAGTGTGCGTATTCCTCGACTATGGAAGACGTGGACATCCAAGGACACTTCAGCTTCTATCAAGTCACCGATACCTGTCGAAGGTGTGAAGAACAACATAGCTCACGCTACAAGAGCAAGGTAGGTTACAAATTTCTTGTAGTACGGGGGACTGCGCAGCTCTCGAGTCGCAAGGAGTTTGTAATCAACCTATAGTTGGCAGTAAGGTGTGGACTTTTGAGTCCAAACAAGTACGTAATTTATCAGCAATCAGTGAATGAAATATGCTGACATAACACCCCCTAGGGGTAATTTATTGTTTACAAATTATAACTCATTTCCAGCCCGTTGAGAGAGGACTTCGACAGCTTCTCAAGACCTCGTCTGCAGGGGCGGCTGTGCAGGTGATGAGCTGTCTTTCTAAGTTAAGTTTTCCCTATACCAACTGTTTAAACTTAGCTGATAACCCATTTCTCAACAAATATATATGTATAAATATACACAATACAGTGGACCCCCGGTTCATGATGCTATCGGCATCCGATAAATCCGGTAGCCGATGCATTATATCGCCAAAAATTTGCCTCAGTTCCCGTTACAAAACCTGGTATGCGATGCGATTCATATGAGACGTGTCCACGTGTGGCCTGAACTGCCCCGTGTGTGCCAGTGTTTACAAGCCAGCCAGTGCGCATGCATCTAAGGATACATTCGGTACATTCCATATTGTCCATATTATTGCTGTTTTTGGTGCTTGCTTCTGCAAAATAAGTCACCATGGGCCCCAAGAAAGCTTCTAGTGCCAACCCTGTGGTAAAAAGGGTGAGAATTAGTATGGAAATTAAGAAAGATTTTGAAGGGTTTGGGGCTAACCCTGAGAAGCCTATGCCAGTTGTGGAATCCATTGTGCCTACTTCAAAGATTAAGGAAATGTGTGCAAAGTGGGTTGAACTGCAAACCTTAATGGATGAAAATCACCCTAACACAGCTATTGCAAGCCGTGCTGGTGACTATTACAATGACAATGTTGTGGCCCATTTTAGACAAATCTTAAAGGAACGGGAGGTATAGAGCTCTATGGACAGATATGTTGTGCGACAGAAGTCCAGTGACTCTCAAGCTGGTCCTAGTGGCATTAAAAGAAGAAGGGAAGTAACCCCGGAAAAGGACTTGCTACCTCAAGTCCTAATGGAGGGGGATTCCCCTTCTAAACAATAGGTTCAACACTCTCCCCTCCTCCCATCCCATCAATCATCACCAGATCTTCATTCAAGGTAAGTGTCAATTATTCTATCGTTATTATTCTATTGTTATTGTTGTTATTGTAATTATTCTATTGCATTAAACTTAATATTTCATGTGGTGAAAGTTTTTTTTTTTCATACTTTTGGGTGTCTTGCACGGATTAATTTGATTTCCATTATTTCTTATGGGGAAAATTGATTCACTTTCCGATAATTTTGGTTTACGATGAGCTCTCAGGAATGGATTAATATCGCGAACCGGGGGTCCACTGTATATCCCTCCAAACTGCCAATATCCCAAACTCCTCATTTAGAGGGCAGGCATTGTATTTCCCATTTCCAGGACTCAAGTCCGGCTATATAAAAATAACCGGTTTCCCTGAATCCCTTCACTAAATATTACCCTGCTCACACTCCAACAGATCGTCAGGTCCCAAATACCATTCGTCTCCATTCACTCCTATCTAACACGCTCATGCATGCCTGCTGGAAGTCCAAGCCCCTCGCTCACAAAACCTCCCTTACCCCTTCCTTCCAACCTTTTTGAGGACGACCCCTACCCTGCCTTCCTTACCTTACAGATTTATACGCTCTCCACGTCATTCGACTTTGATCCATTCTCTCTAAATGACCAAACCACCTCAACAACCCCTCTTCAGCCCTCTGACTAATACTTTTATTAACTCCACACCTTCTCCTAATTTCCACACTCCGAATTTTCTGCATAATATTTACACCACACATTGCCCTTAGACAGGACATCTCCACTGCCTCCTACCACCTCCTCGCTGCTGCATTCACAACCCAAGCTTCACACCCATATAAGAGTGTTGGTACTACTATACTTTCATACATTCCCTTCTTTGCCTCCAAAGATAACATTTTTTTGTCTCCACATACACCTCAACGCACCACTCACCTTTTTTCCCTCATCAATTCTATGATTAACCTCATCCTTCATAAATCCATCTGCCGACACATCAACTCCCAAGTATCTGAAAACATTCACTTCTCCCATACTCCTCCTCCCCAATTTGATATCCAATTTTTCTTTATCTAAATAATTTGATACCCTCATCACCTTACTCTTTTCTATGTTCACTTTCAACTTTCTACCTTTACACACACTCCCAAACTCATCCACTAACCTTTGCAATTTTTCTTTAGAATCCCCCATAAGCACAGTATCATCAGCAAAAAGTAACTGTGTCAATTCCCATTTTGTATTTGATTCCCCATAATTTAATCCCAGCCCTCTCCCGAACACCCTAACATTTACTTCTTTTACAACCCCATCTATAAATATATTAAACAACCATGGTGACATTACACATCCCTGTCTAAGACCTACTTTTACCAGGAAGTATTCTCCCTCTCTTCTACACACCCTAACCTGAGCCTCACTATCCTCATAAAAACTCTTTACAGCATTTAGTAACTTACCACCTGTTCCATATACTTGCAACATCTGCCACATTGCTCCCCTATCCACTCTATCATATGCCTTTTCTAAATCCATAAATGAAATAAAAACTTCCCTACCTTTATCTAAATACTATTCACATAAATGCTTCAATGTAAACACTTGATCTACAGATCCCCTACCCACTCTAAAACCTCCTTGCTCATCTGCAATCCTACATTCTGTCTTACTTCTAATTCTTTCAATTATAACCCTACCATACACTTTTCCTGGTATACTCAGTAAACTTATTCCTCTATAATTTTTACAATCTCCTTCGTCCCCCTTCCCTTTATATAAAGGGACTATATAATAAAATAGCAAACTAAAATGAATAACAAAAAAATGGCCATTTTGGGACAATTTGCAGTAGGCAAATATCTCGCAAGGCTGGATGACAATTTAAACCCATCTCAAAAGAAAACTGTCATAAAAAATTTAAAGAGCAATAATTACAAAGCAACCTTCACCAATAAATACAGTGTCTGTTTTATTATTACATTAAGACCCACAGTCTCCTTTGAGTTTATCCATTTACTTAATTTTGCATTTTCTATCCTTTAGAATGTGGGACAATTTCAGAAACCAAACACTACTCAAATTACTGACACTGCTTTTCCTCCCTTACTGTGTAAATTATTTTTTCCTGGTATTCCACATTAGACGAGTTACCCAAGTCAACTTTCGCACCTACAAAATTCCGTAATTATAAACGACCAATTCTAAATCCCCGCAAGAAAACATCCATTCCAATTTACATATGGCCATCAGAGGCTTTCCAAAATTCTGCATAATATCACCTGTCACAATGACCATCCTTTATAGTTTCATCACATGTCAATAATGAATCTCAAATGCCTCACTTATGTATTACATGTTAAATACCCACATTCATTTTATTTTGCTTTCCAAATCGGACAATGCTATCTTAGTATCAAAACCTAACTAGACATTATTTTTCTGCTTTCTCCCCCCCCCCCACACACTTTTCTACAGCCCTTCATAAATCAAATACTGGTGATTTTCTGCTTTTACCATTATCACAGCCAAAGGTTGTGATAACTACCATTAAGGTAAAGGCTGTGATAATTACCATTATCACAGCCAAAGCTACTTACCACTATTAATTACATACTCCAACCTGCCTGAAGTTCAAATTATTTTAAATCAGTTCATTTTTTTAAGGAATGGTGCTGACCTGCTTTGACTCATATGGTAGATACCATACTTTTTGCAAATCACACAAAACTTTCTTTACACAAAACACCACAAAGTGCACAAATGGAAATCCTTCGGTTAATGACGTATAAATTAAGAGACAAATGGCGCATTCCATATGATGAACAGATTGTTGGACTCACCCCAAGCTGTGTAGGTGGAGCAGTAACCTTGTGATGAGCTGATGGGTTAGAGTTCATCTGTGCAGGTGAAGACTGCTGGTCTCCATAAAGATTGGTACGCTGAACCTGCAATTCATTTACACAATGTATGGTAGGATACAAGGGAAAAGAATACCTATGTAGACAAAGAGATGAGGGAGGATCTGTTAATTTCAAACTCCAACTGAAATCCTCTTTGATGCTCCTACATACAATAAGAGGTTCCTATGAAATCATGAGGAATATTACACATAAATGGCAACCTATTTCCTTATGGCAGTGTTGCCTACAGTCTATGCATGACCTGGTTTATAATTCTCTAAGTGGTCATCCATCCATAAAACTTTAATTCTTGAAAAAATTAAACTGAAATACACTCATTAATATTCCAGAAAGTATCATAAATGCTAACAACATTGTCAATACAACACCAAACAAAATCTCCTGAAGCCAAAACATATCCAGCAAACAAATTCTGCAGCTTTTGAGCTCTATCAATTCACCACAGAAGAAAGATCACAACAAAAAATAGGGCTCAAAGTGGGTGAAATCGTCAATGTGTAAATATCGCCAAGACTGCTAACTTCACGAAAGTGTAATTCTGTAAGTTTTCCAACAAATTTTGTACTTTTGATTTCATTACCTTTGGAAAAAGATTACATAATTTCATAAGAAAAACTTTTTTTTTTCTTTGAAAATTCTCCGAATCTGAGAGCAAATTTCAGATCAGGGGTTTTGACCCTCAAAGGGTTAAATTTTTTATAAATATTGTCATCAAGAGGCTAGAGCACCCAAGTTTAACAGATAACTTTAAAAAATTTCAACTTATGTGGAAATAAAAAAGCTACAGAAAAAACTAACATGGTGAAACCATAGAGAACAGGTGTTCCTTGCTTTATCCAAAATATGCATTCCAGGCCTATGGTGCAACTATTATAACCACACAAGTCATTTATACAACTTCATTTCACCCCAGGAAGCCTTAATACTGTCAATGGTATCCCTCACATGTGAGTGAATTTATATTGCACAGCATTAATTACTAATAGGTATGGGGTTATTGCAAAAATGTGAATTCGCATTTGGCAAACCAACATAACGAGGATTACTGCAACTATAAATGTGCATCTTACTAGGCTACTACAGGTCCGCCATCACAAATCCGGCAATCAGTTATTCGGTTCCTTCAGTTATTCGGCACTAATTTTGGCTAGCATAATTTCAAATTTCCAGGGTCGCCACACCAACCTGCTGGTACTGTTTGGTGGCACTACTTGCTGCATAAGTCACTCCAATTTCTTTTTCTCCATTTATTGTTATAACCTGCTTACTTTTAGCCCTAGCCACGGTTCCAATGAATAAACGAAATGCTTCTCATTATGTAAAGCACCAACACAGTACATTATCCATTAAAGATAAAGTGGCTTAGAAGCCACTGTCGGTTGCCATGAGCTCAGTCTCGTGATGCAGGAGAATATGCTTTATTATTACGCTAATATCAACACTACAGCTTATTGCCTATCACAATTGATCTAATATGACATAATAAACAATATAAATAACATAAAACATGTTAAATACTCCAGAATAAATAATATTTGGCATAACACCGAGCAGTTCGACGGAGGTATGAAGAGGATGTGGTATACAAATACCATTCTCCTATCTCTGTCTTGGGGGCTTATATTAGAGAAAACAGAGTGTACCACAGGGCTAACTGTGATATACACTCGTACTGCACCATAAACCTGAAACAAAAGTTATTTTCTCTATAGATTATCACACATAGCAGCATATGTGAAGAGAACCTAGGATAACCCAAAAAAGTCAACATGGCTTACTTCTAGTACCTGGCTTGGGTTAGCCATATGTGATTTTTGGTAAATATTCGATTCCCAGCCAGGGTAGAAACATTAGGCGTGTTTCTTTACACCTGTTGTCTATGTTTACCCATCAGTAAATGGGTACCTGGGTGTTAGCCGACTAGTGTGGGTGTTATTCTGGGACACTGACCTAATTTTCTTGAAATACTCTGCATAACAAGCGGCTTTCTATATACAGTGGTCCCTCAATAATCATCCGTAATCCATTCCTGGAAGTGGGACTATTATCGAAATGGACGATTTACGAATCAATTTTCCCCATAAGAAATAATGTAAATTCAATTAATCCGTTCCTGACAATAGAAGTATTAAAACAAAAAATTTTTTTACATGAAATATATATGTAGTACATAAACAATACAGTGGCACATGATGAATTAAACATTAACAGAATAACACTTACCTTTATTGGCAATTCTTCTTTGTGTATGGAAGACTGGAGAAGGAGACTGATTGGATGAATTACTGTTTGGAAGGGGAATCCCCTTCCATCAACACCTCAGGTACCAATTGCTTTTCTGGGGTTACTTCTCTTCTCTGTTTCTTAATGCCACTAGGACCACCTTGAGAGTCACTGGAGTCCTGTCTCGCAAAAAAACTGTCCAGAGAGCTGTGTTTCTGGCGTCTCTTTAAATCTTCCCTAAAATGGGCCAAGACTCTGTCACTGTACAAGTTGCCGATATGGCTTGCAACATCCTTCTCTGGGTGATGTTTCTCCATAAATCTTTCCATCCTACCCCACATTTCAAAAATCTCCTTAATTTCTGAAGAAGGCACTTTCTTCCATCTCTCTTCCTCCTCCTCTGCAGCAAGATTCAGAGCTGCCATCTGTTGCTGTTCCTGCTGAAGCTCTTGCAGCTCCTCAGTGGTTAGCTCTTTGTTGTGGTCCTCCACCAACTCTTCCACATCCTCCAAACTTAAATCCAACCCCATGGAAGCCCCCAGTGCCACAATGGATTTAACAACTGACATAGGCTCATCAGGGTCAGTCCCAAACCCTTCAAAATCCCTCTTGTGGACACAATCTGGCCACAATTTTCTCCAGAGTTCAAAGTCCTGGTAGTCACTCCCTCCCAAGCCTTACCTATAAGGCTTACACAATGGAGAATACTGAAATGTTCTTTCCAAAAATCTCGTAGGGTCAAGTGAGTGTCTGAGGTCACATTCAAGCACCTTTCAAACATTGCTTTGGTGTAGAGTTTTTTTAAAGTTTGCAATGACCTGCTGGTCCATGGGTTGGAGGAGAGGAGTGGTATTCGGGGGCAAGAACTTTACTGTGATTGATGAACCCAAACTCCTTCAGAATTAGGTCATCCAAGTTTGGAGGATGAGCAGGTGCACTGTCCATTACTAGGAGGCACTTGAGATCCAATTTCTTTTCCAGGAGGTAATTCTTCACACTAGGGCCAAACACTTCGTTGAACCACTCTACAAAAACTTCCCTCGTGACCCATGCCTTACTATTAGATTTCCAAAACACACACAATTTACTCTTCATAACATTGTTTTTCCTGAACACTCTGGGATTTTCAGAATGGTACACTAGTAACGGCTTCACTTTGAAATCCCCACTAGCATTAGCACAGAACATTAACGTCAGCCTGTGTTTCATAGGCTTGTGTCCTGGAATTGCCTTTTCCTCTTGTGTAATGAAGGTCCTCTTTGGCATTTTCTTCCAAAAGAGGCCTGTTTCATCACAACTGAACACTTGTTCAGGTTTCAGTCCTTCACTGTTCATGTACTCCTGGAATTCATGCACATATTTTTCAGCCGCCTTGTGGTCCGAACTGGCAGCCTCACCACACTGTGTATGCCAGTACGCTTCTTAAATCTCTCAAACCAGCCTTTGCTAGCCTTAAATTCACTCACATCATCACTAGTTGCAGGCAATTTCTTTACCAAATCGTCATGCAACTGCCTAGCCTTTTCACAAATAAGCGAAATCATAAGACTGTCTCCTGCTAATCGTTTCTCATTTATCCACACCAATAATAACTTCTCAACATCTTCGAGTACTGGTGATCTCATTTTTGTCAGCATATTTACCCCCTTTGCAACAGCAGCGTCCTTGATTTCCTTTTTCTTGGCTATGATGGAAGATATGGTTGTACGGGATTTGTTATACATCCTGGCCAGTTCGCCCACACGTACGCCACTATCATATTGTTCAATGTTGTTTTTCTTAAATTCAATCGTATTTCTCACCTTCTTTACCAAAGGCTTGGCACTAGGAGCTTTCTTTGGAGCCATGGTAGCTTATTTAGCACTTAACCCCTTCAGGGTCCAAGGCCAAAATCTGAAGTGGTGCCCCAGTGTCCAAGAATTTTCCCAAAAAAAGTTTGTTATTTTTTCTTATGAAATGGTAGAGAATCTTTTTGTGAAGGTAATAAAACAAAAAGTACGAAATTTTATGGAAAATTGACGAAATTATGCTCTCGCGAATTTTGATGTGTCAGCGATATTTACGAATCGGCGATTTTGCCGACTTTGACTCCCATTTTAGGCCAATTACATCATTCCAGTCGACCAAATTCTTAGCTATTTCACTAGTATTACTTCTGTTCTATCAATTGAGCACAAGAAATCGCCAAGTCAACTGTTGCAACTACAAAATAAAGTGATCGGAAATTGGTAATTTGGCCAATTTAACACAAAGTTCAAAATATTCCAATTTCAAAACAGCGTCCAGAATAAACAATGTAGGCATTCCTGGCACTAAACTAACATTTCCTTGGTTCATTAGTTACGTTTTGAGGCTTTACAAATAAATCCCATTTTGATTTTTTATTCACATAATGAATTTTTATTCACACCAAAAAATAGAAGATTTACTGTTATGCAATATTGTAATAATTGTATAAATATCATCACCACATTTGTGAATGTATATTAGACCCACCAGCTGGCGTGTATTAGATGTGTGAGGTCGTTTGTTTACTCTTGAACATCGGCAAAAATTTAACATTTCTGCTACTTTGAGCTCAGTTTCAAGCCATTTCCAGTTCTAAAACCAATCAAAATCATCCTATTCTGTAATATTCTTCCATCTAGCAAAGTGAGACCAGAATTGCAAATACAACTTAAAAAAACATAGCGAAAGAAAAAACTGGCCAAAGTGCTGTTTAATCGAAAATCTTGGTATCATTTTTTTACTCCATTATACACAGATGCTGCAGATTTTTTTATGTGGTAAAAAACAATAATGTTTCCATATTAGGCCCAAGGACCACTCACAGTTATTAGAGTGAGCTGAGCTATATAGTCTACGTTTGGACCTGAACGTAAACCTGTATCATGTACGTGACTAGGTTAAATAACTCAACCTAAATAAAGAATATTATGAATTCATGAGCATGGGGCCTTCTCATGGTAACAATGGACTGGCTGGAAGTAAAATGGGACGTAAGCCGTCAACCGTGGATACGGGCCCGGACGAAGGACTTGCGAGTTACGGACATTTCCGAGCAATATTTTCTAAAAACAGGACTATTCCGACATGGGACGTATTTCAATGACCAGACATTATTGAGTGGCACTGTATAGTATTACTTAGCCAGCAAGGCCTGTATACTTGTACATGTAGTGTAGTAATACACTACCATGACTTATTTGACAATTTCCTGTACACCGGTAATGTAAAATGGTAAGTCGAACCGTTTGAAAATTTGCCGCATACGGTAGGGTAATGTCAAACTTGCTATATAACTACTAATAGTACTGTAAGTAATGTGACAATCATACATTTTTTTCCATATCTTCATGTAATTTAATTATTTATTTATTTAATGTATATAATGTAAAACATGGTGTGAACTGTATTGTAAATTTTACATCGATACGTATCATAGCTACTGTTATCTGTTAGTATGTCGACACAGTGGAATGGTGAAATACCACTGGAAGTGGCATCCAGCCAGAATGTGTATACCTATTAGCCTCAATTGTAAAAAAACTCTGGAACATTTGTTCTAGCTGCTCTGCCTGTGGTGTGGTGGTATACCTGGTGATTGCTACTGATGTGCTCATCTGTATACCCTGTGCTTAGCCTCTCTTTTTGATTTATAATACTCTCTCTCTCTCTCTCTTCTCTTATCTTCCTCTCTCTCTCTCTCTCTCTCTCTCTATCTCTCTCTCTCGTATCTCTCCTGTATCTCTCTCTCTGTCTCTCTCTCTCTGTATCTCTCTCTCTTCTCTCTCTCTGTATCTCTCTCTCCTCTCTGTTCTCTCTCTCTCTCTCTCTTCTCTCTCTCTCTCTCTCTCTCTCTGTATCTCTCTCTCTCTCTCTCTGTATCTCTCTCTCTCTGTATCTCTCTCTGTATCTCTCTCTGTATCTCTCTCTTGTATCTCTCTCTCTCTCTCTGTATCTCTCTCTCTCTCTCTTGTATCTCTCTCTCTCTCTCTCTCTGTATCTCTCTCTTCTCTGTATCTCTCTCTCTGATATCTCTCTCTCTCTGTATCTCTCTCTCTCTCTCTCTCTGATCTCTCTCTTCTCTCTCTCTGTATCTCTCTCTCTCTCTCTCTGTATCTCTCTCCTCTCTCTGTATCTCTCTCTGTATCTCTCTCTCTCTGTATCTCTCTCTCTCTTCTCTCTTACTCTTATCTCTCTCTCTCTCTGTATCTCTCTCTCTCTGTATCTCTCTCTCTCTCTCTGTATCTCTCTCTCTGTATCTCTCCTCTCTCTCTGTATCTATCTCTCTCTCTCTCTGTATCTCTCTCTCTGTATCTCTCTCTCTCTGTATCTCTCTCTGTATCTTCTCTCTCTCTGTATCTCTCTTCTCTCTCTCTGTATCTCTCTCTCTCTGTATCTCTCTCTCTCTCTCCTCTATTTCTCTCTCTCTCTCTGTATCTCTCTCTCTTATCTCTCTCTCTCTCTGTATCTATCTCTCTCTCTATCTTCTCTCTCTGTATCTCTCTCTCTATCTGTATCTCTCTCTCTGTATCTCTCTCTCTATCTCTCTCTCTCTCTCTCTCTGTATCTCTCTCTCTCTCTCTCTCTCTGTATCTCTCTCACAGGTACACGTAAGTAATCATACATAGTATAAATTACCTAGGATAACCAAAATAATCCAGACAAAGTGCTATACAGTGGATCTGTGCTCCAGTGCCCTAAATTAATAATATTAATAATAATTATCATCATTATTACAATAATACATACGCACTAATATTAATATTATTATTATTAAACTATAATATAATAATCGTGTCCACTCATTACTTACCTTAAAATATCTGTAGTCTTAATGTAAAGTGAGAGGTGAGTAAACAAGATTAAATGAATGAACGAATGAGTGTGTAGAAGGTTGGCGAGTTATGTAAACAAACGTTGTTGTTGTTGTTGTTACCAGCCCGGACACGAATGATTCCTGTTCACTCTGTCAAGCCGACCAGAAAAACATCTCATATTTGTTAATTTATATTTTATATGTTATGTAGCATGTTTATTATATGTATAATTTTGAAAAAGAAATCATAGATGGATTAAGCAAAATGTCTATATCAACGTTTTATACACATTTAATGCGCCTCAGTGATTATTATTGTGTTATTATCATTATGGCATCTTCAAGACCAATTACACTCTTAATGAGTGGCTCTGAGACAGACAAGCAGACAGAAAGACAGACACAGGTAGACAGACAGACACAGGTAGACAGACACACAGGTAGACAGAAAGACACACACAGGTAGGCATAAAGACACACAAGTAGACACACAGGTAGATAGAAAGACACACAGACAAAGACACACAGGTAGACAGAAAGACAGACACAGGTAGATAGAGATAAACAGACACACAGAGATATACAGATATATAGGCAGACAGATACAGACAAGTTTATGTGCAACAGTGAAAACAAATAAGAGAGTTCGAGAGTAAGAGCCTTTCTTGCCACAGACTTCATCTTAGGGGCCATGGTGAAATTTACTGTCCAGTTAGTACAGTTAATACAGTATGATGCTGCTGATAGGACAGGGTTACTCAAACTGATGCTGCCTGCATGACACATTGCCGTTGCGAGTATTGTCAAATATTGTATAGAGGTGTGCATCAGCCGGCCCAGCCCAGCTGCCAGATGCACGGTCGTAAGTCGAGTGGACGTATGTCGAGCAGGTCGTAAGTCGGATGGTAGGTGTATATTATTATTATTATTATTTATTATTATATTACTTTCTCAGTTGTTTGTTGGGTTATCTTACTGAAACTTGGGCAATGTATGATGGAAAGGTACTTCTTAACGTACACCAAAAATGAAAGAAATCAGACCATAAATAGCGGAGTTCACTTCTCAGCCATTAGCGGTATATTTTTGTATGGTTTTTATGGTTGTATTCTCATTTTTTTGGACTCATTTGATAGAATGGAAGATATATTACAGAAATAGACATGATTTTGATTGTTTTCATGGCAAAGTACCTTGAAACTGAGCTCAAAGTAGCGGAAATGTTTGATTTTTGCCGATGTTCAATGAACTTTGTGCAAGTCAAGTTGGTTAATTTTATTAAGTATATCCTACCCTAACCACTCTGTAATCCGGCAAACTCAGTAAACCGGCACACTACAGGTCCCAATGATGCCGGATTTGTGATGGAGGACCTGTACTGTATAATATGTGCAATACCCATATATCAAAATAGACATTTTGTATCTTCTTACAGACATGCTAAATTTTAAAAGATGTTATAAAAGGAGAGTGTAGCAGGTAAATGAAAGCAAAACAAATTTGGATAATTGAATGAAGGACAATGCAATATACTGTGCCCTTGAAAAAGTGAGTATATTAAAAAATATTTGAAATTTTAAAGATGTTTTTACAGCATTTATTTACCTGTAAAGAAAATAGAGAAATGAAGTGATAAATGGAGAGTAAAATAAATAGGGTATGCAAAGAATAGCACACTGAAAAAGGAAATCCAACAAACAGAAAATGATCCAACAAACAGAAAAAGATCATTACATTTTCATCTCAATTGGAGATCCTTATAAGCTAGCAAGAGTTTCTGAAGCCAAAATATACAGATCCATTCCAGTTTGCTTTATTTTCCATGCATATAGGATTCCCCTTTTCACTGAACAGAGGTTTTTTATGTAACTATCAAAGTCACTACCCTTTAGATGACAGCCTGGAAGACATTCTCTGGGAAAGCTGCAAGGGCAAAATTATTTTAAGTCAAATCTTAACAAGTAATTTGGAGTGATAACCAACATTTAGGTACGTTATGTACAGTACAACCTCGATAATCAGCCATTTTAAACTCTGGAAACCTCCAAACAGTAATCTGGAAGAAAAAAGTCCATACCAGTAGTTATACTGAGTACTAAAAAAGATCAGCATAGGTAATATTAGTTGATTAGCAAGTCCATCCATTACATTTTTGAAACAAATGCTTCATCACCCAGAAAGATATTGTGTCCACAGAATTTAAAGAATATAAACAAGTGCATGACTGTTTCTGTGATCTGGAAATCTCTGAAATCCAGGTAGTGCTCTAGCCTAAAGTTCCTTGATTATTGAGGCAGTATAGTACAAATTTTTTTTTTTTTACCATTTCAGTATAAAACTAAAAAAAAAAAAATGTAGAAGATAGTCAAGTGATCTTATTTTGAGCATACCTGATATGTTGTCTCTTGTCGATAACCCCCACCTGCAGGATTGGCATTTCCCTGACTTATAGAACCGTACTGCTCATTCACAGGGTCATAGTCAGCTATGCTGCCAACACGACGGGTTGGCTGCTGTTGCACTGTGATCATTAATACATTATTAGTATTTCATATTCATTAAGTATTTACTACAGTTCTTTGCAAAATTATGAGTAAATGAAATAAAATATTAACCAATAGTTTCTAATTCAAAATTAATCCCCAAATTGCAAGTGAAAATCTAATCCCTTGTTGATAATGGTGGTACAGTTTTCGTTCCAATTTGTGGGTTAATTGTGAATTGCTCAAACCACTGCATTGTAACATTCACATTAAATGTGATACTGGTACTGCAGTTCATATCAAAAACAGAAGTAAGGATCAAGTCTCATAACAGTAGAGTTGGAGTTGATAAAAGACTGAAGGGTAAATTAGTAAGTAAGTAAGTAAGTTTATTCAGGTATACACAAATACAGTTACATAGAATTATCATACATAGCAGCATATGTGTAGAGAACCTAGGATAACCCAAAAAAGTCAGACAGAGTGACTTATTTCCATTGGGGTGTATTTTTTAGAGAAACAACTAATATGCCTGATCATTACTTGTGGTAGCCACAGTAAGAGGTAGATGGAGCACACTAAAAGGAGAATGGTATCAGTGGGTGAGAGAAATGGAGGTTAATGAACTGTAAATAAAAAAGGGGAGACAGTTATTGGAAGGCATGAGCAACTGTTTAACATTGGGCCGGAAGACAGGAAGGAGAAAGAAAGAGAGAGAGAGAGAGATCCTGGATAAATCTTTCATTTCAGCAGAGCCTTCAACACAGGAGGGATGTGGGTGGCCTTACTGTTATGTACAAGGCCAATACTGTCAATGTACCACACTTGGCTCCACTTCAAGGACAGTGTGAAGCAAGTTTTTATACCACAAGATGGGCAGAAAGCAGCAACTTCACTCTGGCTATACCCTTTTCCAGAACATCACCTCATCTGAGATCATTTATCCCCAGGATGACTTGAGTCTGGAACACATTTGTACAGCATTATGATGTCAACGAGATAAAGTCAGTTGATCAAATGAAATTGCTGGCCCACAGATAGCTCCAACTTCATCCTGTTCCCTACTTGTATGTCTCATAACAATAAAAATGCTTTCAAATAAGCTGATGTAAGTAACAGCTCTTAGCTTATCAATAAAGTTAGGAATCCGTAACTTGCCAATAGCTTGTCAATAAAGTTAGGGATCCTTAACCTAAGAAAAGTATCCATTAGGAGGAAGGAGTCCGAGGTAAGTGTGGAGTGGGTGAAACAGCAGGCAGATTACAAGAGGGTAGATCAACATGATGGAAGCAATGCTGACAGATGCTGAAAGGAGGTGGAGTGTGTTTTGGAATGGTTGGAGCTTTTGTTTAATGTGTGTGTGAAGGAAGGGAAGGTACCTAGGAATTGGTAGAAAGCATGCATGGTTCTTTTGTATAAAGGAGAACAGGACAGGAGAGAGCATAAAAATAACAGGAAAGCAAGTCTGTTAAGTAAGTTAGGCAAATAAAATGGCAGAATTATCAAAATTTAGGAGAAAGGCAGAATATAAAGATAAAAATGAACAAAGTGAATTTAGGAAGGGAAAGGAGTGTGTGGATAAAGAGTTTCCATTAAAGCATCAAAAGAAAGGAGGAACACTGCAGTAGGCCCGTTGGCCCATAAGGTTAAGGAAATGCTAGTTATGTTTGTGGATTTAAAATAAGAACATGATAGGATGAATAGGGAAGTGGTGTGGATGGGGTTGCACTTTCATGCAACAGATACTATATCGTTAATAGCTGTAAAGAGATTTTGCGAGTCTAGTGAGGCTCAGTATAGAGGACATTAGAGGTAAGTGAAGTATTTCCAGTCAAAGTGTTCCTTAAACAATGATGTGTAAAGTTACCACAGTTGTTCAATGTATAGTATTTCTGTCATGCAACCATAACAGAAAATTAATCAACATGTTACACCTATGTCCACCTATTACTCACCTCTGATAGACCTGTTTTCCTAGAAAAATAATTTTAGGGCCAAACAGTGATGCTCAGTTAGAATAAAATATATGAGAAAAGTCTATTATTGCATTTCAAATGACTGCAATGAAGTTTAAGTAAACTACCTCACATACTATATAAACCTTGGTTAATCTAAACAAAACATTGCAGTACAGTATGCAATTTCAATGCAATCATAAATTAGCAAGCATGTATGACAGTGCTTCATAGAGCCTCTGCTTATTCCTTATCAATACATACTTGGCTCATATTACAAAGCAAACACACACACAACAGTATTAAATGCACCACTAGTAAATACATATGTAACTACTACATTTTGTACAAATGCACTAAAAAACAAAAGAGGAACATTACAAAAGACAAACAAAAATACAGTAATCTACTACAATACAAACATCCTTACAAATGGTTAAAAGCGTGCAAGTGCAAAATAACTGGAAAACTCACCATAGAAGCAAAATTAACTAAGGGAGCACTTACCAGTAGCAGCAACAATAGGTGACACTGTTACAGCTTTGATAATGCTTTAACAGAGCAAAACATTGTCCCAATTTAAGATTATTATGCAACATGCCTTTTCTTCAGCAACAATATTAACTCCAATGGTATACTTACCAATATTAAGAATGCTGTGAAAAATATGAGGTATAAAACTAGGACTCCTATTACTTTACTAACTATTGAACTGATAATATAGGCTGTACTTGTGAGATAAACTTTAAAACAGATCCAAGTCTACAGTTCCTCAAAAGAGAGAGACTGGTTTTTGATAGTGCTTTACACTGACAACTGAACTTAATGGACATATTTTGGAACATCATGAAAGTTTACAGCCGTATACATACCTGACCTAAACAGCTAAACACAAATTGTCAAGAATCTGTATTTAACATATGTATTCAATTTCAGCAATAAATATAGAAACTGGAAACAAATGAATACTGACCTTAATGAAAAATGTAAGTAAGATAGGAGTGGTGTAAACCAGTACCTTGAGAGGATGACTGTAATGTCACTAGACATAATTTACAAACTATAGGCAAGAAACAAAGAATCACAGAACTTCTAGATTTTTTCTTACTTTCATGTGCCCTGTTGATTGGAACATTCGAGTTGTAACCCAACTAGAGCCAGAGGCAAGGTGGCATTAGGCTTTAAAAGTAAATAAAGTATGCCTCTCTGCTTCAGAAGTAAAGTTAGCCTCTCACCTGGCTAGCTTTCAGGCTTATAGGCCTACTTTGATTATTATTGTGTTTTGGGTAGACTTATGCCCAACCCTCATTTTGGTTTTAAACCAAAGAGCATAGTGACTTCTGTGTTAACATCACTAAAGCTCTGCTCCATTTAAATGTTATTTAACATTTAATTCCAGCTAAGAAGAGTAGCAAACACCCATAAAGTAATAAGGTATGTCATGGTGGCCCCAAACTAAGAGAAAAATAATTTCAGTACCTTTGATGTCTAATTATGTATTTTATGGAGTTTTGAAGCAATTGAAAGGTCTCATGAAATCTCCCAAGGTGTCTGCTCATCTTTTCTTTATGGTATGTGCATCTATCTGCAAATGGTTTGAGTGGAAGCTTGTGCAGTGTTGCCTAAAGCTGCTAAGAAATTATTCTGAAGGTATAGCAAATTGTTGGACAAAATGGAAAGATTTTTAACTCACAGTACAAAGATTACAAGTGACATATGCCTCAAAGTTGGAAAATATAGAAAAATTCATGCGCTTAAGTTGCAGTCTAACTGGCAGGTACAGTACATTGTGTAGTATTTTTTATTTTTTTTTTTCAACAAGTCGGCCGTCTCCCACCGAGGCAGGGTGACCCAAAAAAGAAAGAAAATCCCCAAAAAGAAAATACTTTCATCATCATTCAACACTTTCACCACACTCGCACATTATCACTGTTTTTGCAGAGGTGCTCAGAATACAACAGTTTAGAAGCATACACATATAAAGATACACAACATATCCCTCCAAACTGCCAATATCCCAAAACCCTCCTTTAAAGTGCAGGCATTGTACTTCCCATTTCCAGGACTCAAGTCCGACTATATGAAAATAACTGGTTTCCCTGAATCCCTTCACTAAATATTACCCTGCTCACACTCCAACAGATCGTCAGGTCCCAAGTACCATTCGTCTCCATTCACTCCTATCTAACACGCTCACGCACGCTTGCTGGAAGTCCAAGCCCCTTGCCCACAAAACCTCCTTTACCCCCTCTCTCCAACCCTTTCGTATTTAATATATATCTTAGTGTATACTGCACTACGATATTGCACAACAGAACAAAAAACTGTCTAAGCAAGTGAATAAAGTATCTGCAAGAGTTTTAGGGCCAATCTTCCAAGGCAGTCATAGATGTACAGTACATCAAGAATATCAAAGACCAAAACTGATACTCTGGAAACCCCACTTGTTACTTCACATACTAACAGTTCCTTTCTCACTATGAAACTCGCCCCATATTTTGCAGAAAGTACCAGTAGTACTCTCTTCATGGAGCACCTTTTCTTACAACCCAATCTATCTTGCCAATTTGTAAATTTACAGTTGTTGCTTATGAGATACTATCAAAGGTCTTCAAAGAGTTCCAAAAATATGTAGTTTACCCACCCTTGTATTTCCTCTTTTCAGTTTCCCCATCACAGAGCTCAAGTTGTCTAGCAATCACCAAGAGACTGACTAAACAGAGACCTGGCCACCATCAGTGGATAAAGAGTGGGTCTCCTCTACTCCTTGTCTTACATGACCCATACATGTTTAGCATTTCATGAAATATAATACAGCAAGTCCCTGACTTATGATGTTCATGCGATCCTAAAAACTGCATGCATATCAATTGCTGAGAATTTTGAACCTATTTCCCTGTAGACACCCATGTTTTAATTGGAGATGTATTCTTGATCCACAATATGTATCTAATTTCTTTGATTTTTTTTAACAGGAATATTTACCCAACACTGTACATTCAGTGCTATTCATTTTCACATATAAATAATAAACACTGTTTAAATAATGCACTGTATGTAACATGTAAAAAGTAAGAAAAAATAAAATACAAATTTCAGTTATACTTTATCAGGCCATGTATCCAGTTTCTTTTGACTTGGCACAAGAAAATGAAACTGAAAACCAATCTTTGGATATCGCTCAAAATATGCGCATCAGATAACCCCCCCCCCCACTGAACATACACACACACTCAATATTTCTTATTCGTTCTTCTTTTATGAATGTCAATACAAACCAGTTTAAAGTAACATTAAGAGATTGTGTTAAAAAATTTGAACCTGTAAATACGTATCTCTCTACTATTTCCTTCCTCCGTCCCTCCATTCATCTCGTCTGTCAATGCAGCCCAACTTTGTCTGGCGGGAGGTCTATTTTCTTTCGACTTTACCCGTGACACTTAAACTGAAGACAAATCAAGGCATTTTGTTTAAAATAGGCTCACTGGATTTCCTTTGCCCAAATATATTTTCTAGTCACTTTTTTTTCTTTTTACAAATGTTAATATAAACCAGTTTGGTGATATTTAAAAAGATAGTAAAAAACAAATGAAGAAAGTATGAGTGAACTGTGTTACAGCAATGATTATTAACAGCTGCAGCACTATTTTTCATTGTCACAGCCATGTATACTCCCAAATATCAGAAAAGCCAGCCTATATCCACACGTTATTAACTGGTTCAAGCGTGCCAATGTTGTAAAAGTGTGACATTTTAAGTTGGAACATCGTAAGTCGAGAACCTACTGTACTATAAAATTCAACTGAACTACATTTATAATTCCACTAGTTATCAGTTTTTCTTGTCACCATTCCTCACTTTTCTTTCATATACAAAATCTTTCATCCATTTTAAATTATTACTCTTTTATATAGCTTTTGTAGCTTGCAAATTATAAGTTAGTACCAGTCTTTTAATCTGATTAAATACAATCAGACCATACATTTGTTTCCTATATAATTTCTTTCAGTTATCAAGAGTTAATTGTGTATTCTGCCCTCAAAACAAGATTTTGCTGATCTAAAGCTCACTTGTTTAGGAGCTGAGCTCAAGGATAATGTCAAAATACCATACAAGTCATGGTTCTGGGAGAACAGCTAGCATATAGCATGGGAAATTGCATAATGTGTTTGATTAAGTCATTCTTGAGTCATCGTGTGAAAATGTAGAAAGGTGCAAGGAAGAAAATAGTTTAAAACATTGAAAGGCCAGATAGTAAAGCAACTGATGACCACAAGCAGATGCCATCAATTATCAACAGAATGAAAATTATATCTAATCGTCGTAGTCTTGAGGTCTGCAAGTGGTGTTCGCAAGTCAGCTAATGACATTTACATGTTAATCAATAACAAGGTTTTCCAATGGTTGAATGCAGACTAAACCCAACAACCTATACAGAATAGGGTAGTAAGCTTAAATTTTCAAATAATACTGTGCTAAATAATTCTAGCATTACTTTTGGTCTTCAAAAAGAAGATATGTATATGCCAGTTTTTAAACAGCAAGTTTTGAAAAAATATATATAATTATATAAAAAAAAAAACTTCCAAACAAAGCTGCTAAGCTGTTGCTAAAAAATCTAAAGTAAGCCAGGATAGACAGCAAATAAAGCAAGCCAGGGTAGACAGCAAAAAATGAAGAAGACTTCTTGCATTTTGTAAAAAAGGGTAAAAAAACAAATGTACAAAATGACGTTAAATCATGATCGCATGTTCTTATAGAAAAGAAAATTTACAAGCAAAGAAAACCAAATGATGAATTAGAAACTAAGGAAGAAAAAAATAAGGGCTGTCCAACTTATTAAATACATGGATGGGGAAATGCTAAACAAACTGTTCATAGAATAAGTGGGACCAAAACTGGAATATTCAGTGGTGGTATGGTGTCCACACATAAAAATACATGTGAACAAACAAGAATAACTCAAGACAAACTATAAAATGGCCCTTCAGAGCTTAAAAAATTCAAGGCATTGGATATATCATCCATGGCCAAAAGGAGGAAAAGAGGTAACAAGATACACAAATAACCCGCACATAAAAGAGAGAAGCTTACGACGACGTTTCGGTCCGACTTGGATCATTTACAAAGTCACACGGTGTGACTTTGTAAATGGTCCAAGTCGGACCGAAACGTCGTCGTAAGCTTCTCTCTTTTATGTGCGGGTTATTTGTGTATCATTCCAGTCACGGTATTCGGTATTGTGCCTTTTTTTGTTATTTAGGTAACAAGATAACCACACTTCAAATCATTAAATGATAGAAGAAAACAGATTAGCAAGATTTCTTTGCATCATCATTAAACTGAACAGGAGCATTGGAGTACTAGAACAGGAGCCAAGAGGTGGGAGTAAATGCTACAACCACTGGAATTTTTTTAAAATACATGAAAATTAAAACAAGGAAATCAAGACATCACAAGCATAACTCTTGTCTCGTAACTACAATTAGGTAATCACACAGTACAGTACTGGGTGTAAAATTCCTTCTTAGCTTTGCAGAACCATGGCTGACCAACATTTTATAATAATCTTCCCCTATCAATTAACTACTGTATATACCTTTTCTTATTCTCTTAAAGTATACATTTACTGTACCTGGACCAGTCTGACTGGAGTAGATGAGTGTCTGGGAAGTACGTGCTGAGTAGGGAGAGTTATGGTTTGCATCGTGAAACATATTCTGGGGAGCAGGATGGTGATGGTATGAAGAGGTGGGAGGATGCTGCTGCTTTTGTTGTGGTTGCTGGAACTGTTGTTGATGCTGATGATGAAGGAAGGAGGTGGAAGAAGTCTGGGGTGGGTGACGATGTTGTGATGAAGGAGGCGGTCCACTGTACTGCTGTTGGTGGGAAGCAGCATACGATTGTTGCTGCTGTTGCAGCTGTTGATGATGCTTTTGTAGTTGTTGATGATGCTGCTGTTGCTGCTGCATTTGCTGCTGATGTTCCTGCTGCCGTTTACTGTCATCACGAGGTGGGGCTCCAGCTATCACAAACAAACAATCAAGCTAAACCCCACACACACACACAATACAGCATGCAAAAATGCAAATACAGTAGACACCAGTTAATTCAATGTGCCCATAGTACACACAGTTATTTCTAGCTATTAAAATTAACTCAAATACAGTATTTCTATTTTATGTACAGTACCTCACTTTCTATTTTTTTTAGATTTCAGTACAATACACATTATGGTTCTGACCAAAACTGCCTATGCTTGACAAAAAATGCAAATAAGATAGAAAAGGTTTAAAGATGAGCTACAAAATGACTACCAGAACTTAACAAGGTGAATCATAGAATTGATGAAGGAAAAAAGGTGAGTGGTGCACTTAGGAATCTGTGGAGACAAAGAACTTTGCCCATGGAAGCAAAGAGGGGAAGATATGAAAGTATAGTTACACCAATGCTCTTATGTGTGTGTGAAACATGGGTGGTGAATGTTGTAACAAAAAGGCTGGAAGCAGTGGAAATGTCATGTCTAAGGGCAATGTGTGGCGTGAATACAATGCAAAGAATTCGTAGTCTGGAAATTAGGAGGTGCGGGATTACCCAAACTTATCCAGAGGGCTGAGGAGGGGTTGTCGAGGTAGTTCGGTCATGTAGAGAGATGGAACAAAATAGAAAGATTTCGAGAGTGTATAACTTTATAGTGGAGGGAAGGAGGGGTAGGGGTTGGCCTAGAAAAGGTTGGGGGGAGGGGGTAAAGGTGGTTTTGTGTGCAAGGGGCTTTGACTTCCAGCATGCATGAGTGAGCATGTTAGATAGGAGTGAATGGAGACAAATGGTTTTTAGGACTTGATGTGCTGTTGGAGTGTGAGCAAGGTAACATTTATGAAGGGATTCAGGGAAACCAGCAGGCCGGACTTGAGTCCTGAAGATGGGAAGTACAGTGTCTGCACTCTGAAGGAGGGGTGTTAATGCTACAGTTTTATAACTGTAGTGTAAGAACACCTCTGGCAAGACAGTGATGGACTGAATGATGAAAGTTTTTCTTTTTCAGGTCACCCTGCCTTGGTGGGAGACAGCCAATGTGTTAATAAAATAAAAATAAATAACTTAAAAATACAAGTTATTAACCCTTAAACTGTCCAAATGTAGATCTACATTCGCTTGCGTAGTGCTCCAAATGTAGAGCTATCCTTTTTTTTACATAAGAAAGCATGTAAAATCGAACGTAGATCTACGTTCAAAGCACTACGCGAGTGAACGTAGATCTACGTTTGGACAATTTAAGGGTTAAGAAAGTCTGAAGACATATGAAATGGCTTCACTGGCTGACTGGAGGAAAAAGAAGAGGCATGATAACCATAGCATAAAATATCAAAGGATATGGAGAACTAATAATGAAGATTTCCTAGCACCATCAACAGAGAAAACAGGAAGCAACAGCTATAAATTAAGAAAAGGGGCTGAAGGGATACTAGAAAGTTCTTCAAAAAATGTGGCAGAGGACTGGAATAATTTACAAGAGCTAGTAAATGCAACAACCACTGGAAACAAATATGATAAATCAATACCAAAACCTAGACACCATGAGCTTATATCTGCTCCTGTGGATACTAGTTAATTATAAATACCAGTAGGAAAACTAATTCTATATTCAGTATACCATATACAGTGGAACTGATGAACTAAGCAAGTACAGTAGATCTTAGTAAGAGAAGGTATTTGGTTCATTGCTCCATGTTTCTTAACGTGCTACTTGGCATTTTACCAGGAACCTGTTTTAAGGGAGCTTTTACCCTCGCAGCCAGGCTTCCCTGTTGATCATGTGGTCAACCAGGCTGTTTGTGCCAGTGCCCCACCGGATCACTTAGCCATCACAAACCAGTTGATATGACACTTGTGAAAGAAAGCCATCTAGCTTCTTGAAAACTTCTGTCTTCATTTTGGCAGTATATCTGACATCTGCTGGTAGCATATTGAGCCTTGGGCCCCAAAAATATTGAAAATATCCTCTGATTAAGCAGAGGAACTGGGAGAGAAGGTTGTTGCCTCAACAGACATGCATGTTAAGTGATTTGTATGGAAAAGTGAGAGCAGAAGTGCAGAAACAAATGGAAGACTACTAGATGATCAACAACAAGGTATCATTGCCCTTTCACTAGCCCCCACACTCTACACCAATGTGACAAGCAATGGCAACCTTCTTTTGGGGACTACTCCATACCTACCCAAGGCTTGCCCAGGATGGCTTACCCAGAATTGCCAAAGCAAGACTTAGCAAAACCACCTAATTAAACTGGGAGTGCTAAAGGCAATAGAAGCACTTAGCTAGTAATGGACGATGGCAGACTCTCAAGAACATCGAACTGCACATCATCCAATATCACTCCTGAATCTCTAGACCTCCAGTAGCACTTCCACCACCAGAGAGCCACCCAATGTTCCACCAGGTGGTCCCTTTGAGAGTGCAACCCTCTCTGGAAGTTGTGAACCAACTCTCTGCAATTGCTGGGAGAGCACAGAGTAATTGAAAATGATCAGTTCCATAATTCCCTATAGCAAAATTTAATGTGGGAAAAAAATCCTGCCAAGTAGTCAAATAAATACCTTGGGAGGAGGGGAAGAGTGGAGGTGTAGTTTTAGCCATTCACCCCACACCATTTAAGGTGACCCATCATTGGAGGGACTGGCACTTGGGAATGAATTAAATGCTTATGAACAGAGACATCCTCTTCTAGTGGGCCTGCTTATAGCCATGGAAATGTCACTTCCATTGAGCAAGACTATCAATATTCGCGAAGATCAAATTATATTTTTATTTAGTTTACCGCATACAATGATAGTTTCTGTATGCTAATTTTCTGCACATGTGGAGACTTTATGCTCACTTGGTAGAGATTGGGTAAGACCTGTAGATTTAAAAATTCTGTTTCTTTGTTGGGAAAGCATTGCCATTTCATTGGAATTTTCCACAAATTTGTGAGAGAAATAGTGCTATGTAGGAGGTGCTTTGGAATGACAACTATTTCTTGATTGTTTTTCCTTTTTGTTGTAAATAAAAGTAGTGTAAAATAACTAAAAATAACATACTGATAAACAGAAACCACACAATAGATTTAAATGAATTTCACACTGTCCACATCCTGGTCCTGTCAAGCATACAGGTACTGATGGTTCAGCAGCTCAATCACCAACTTGTCACTTTAGTAAGTGATCAAAAATTCATTAGATTCCTCCTTTGAGGGTATTTCCGCAATAAGCACAGAAGACATCTAACTACTGCCAAAAATACCATACAGTTTGGATGATAACAGGTTCAAAAATATGTAACAAAAAAAATTAATAATGGGTTCTAAGGTATAGTAGCCATAAAATATATTGTAATACAGTAGTAATATCAAGCAAAAAATATTAAGGTTAATTTGACCCAACAACCACCACCTTAATCAGAAAATTCAGAAGTAAACTGCAACACACTAAAATTAAAAATAACAAGGTCGACGAAGCTAGCAGCCTGTTATGGAATACATATGTTGATATAATTGGATTCCTTGCTAAGTACATTACTACCTATACTTTCACAAAATGGCTACAATCTGTGCTGTGGGAAAGTATCAAAAAAGAGTTGCAGAATTTGTTGCAAAAATCATGTAGGCTCACATGAAATCCTTAGTCACCATGATGAAAAGAAGCACAAAAAACATAGGTGCTGAGTACAGTAAAGATCAAATTTTCTTTTTATTAACTCAGTGTGCTCCTTATACAGTAATACAAGACAATACTAAAGTAGATGAACTAAAGTAACTGTGTAAACAGTATTTCTGAACACCCATCTATGCTCTCTGTGGATCAATTAGGACAAGTACTGTGCCAATTAACCCTTTCAGGGTCCGTCCCATAGATCTACGGCTTTACGGTGAGTGTCCAAACCGTAGATCTACGCCATGAGCTCAGCTCACTTTGATAAACTGTGAGTGGTACATTTGGGCCTAGATATGAGAGAATACATCTATGTGGTATGTGTGCACCACATAAAACAGATCCTGCAGCACACTGTGTATAATGAGAGAAAAAAAATGAAATCATGATTTTTCGATTAAATGGAAAAATAAAAAAAAAACTATTTTCTAAAAGTTCACTTTGAACTGAACAAAATGTGTCCTGGTCTGGGACCATGCCACAGGGAGCACTGATTCTGAAAAACATCCTATGGGTATCCTTCAGATTGCTTTTTATGCTAAAACTTTTGATAAAAGATACAGGAGAACAGCATTATAGTCTTATTATTGAGCCTGCCCACAATGCTCTGCATACAAGTGGCTTTTGGCATGTATACTCAACCACTGTATTTCTTTTGTACAACTATGTATCATGTCCAAATAATAATAAATAAAATAAATAAAATAAAAAATAAAAATAAAAATATTAATGAAGCTTAGCTCTAAGTCTATGGTACATACTCCTAGGGGTGGGGATATTTGTAGTTTGAAGGGGCATCTGAACTGTAGAATCTGTGTTGCTCTGGCAAGACAGTGATGGAGTGAATGACTGTGAAAGTGTTTCTTTCCCAGGTCACCCTACCTCAGTGGGAGATGGGCAGTGTTAAAAAAAAAAAAATTCACTTCAAGGCTTGCACAAGATGCACTCTACATAATTTGAGAAATTGTATACTGGAGAATTATTTAAAAATTTAAAGAAAGAATAAGATCTGATGCAGCAAACTGAAAGAATAGGTCATACCCACTTTTGTAACCCTGCTGCAAGGTTATTAATTCTACCACAAGTTTTTTTTATTAACACACCGACCGTCTCTCACAAAGCAGGGTGACCCGAAAAAAAGAAGAAACAAAAGTTTTTCTTCATTTTACATTTAGTAGTTATACAGGAGGTGTTACCAGCCCCTTGTTCCTGGCATTTTAGTCGCCTCTAACAATGCATGTGGCTTACGGAGTAAGAATTCTTCACTTCTCCATGGAAGTGGAAGTGTATTTATATGTGCGTGCTATTCACTAAGATTAGCTACCAGCAAAGTTTTGGGATCACTGCCTATGCCTACAGTGCTTGCTTTTATTAAATCTTTAAAGCAGTACAGCAGTGAAAGTTCCAGTTAAGATAAGAGATGAGATTTTCTTCGGATTTTTAACCCCAGAAAGTTAGCCACCCAGGATAACCCAAGAAAGTCAGTGCGTCATCAAGGACTTTAACTAATTTCCACTGGGGGTCCTCAATCGTGTCCCCCACGATGCAACCCATATCAGCCAACTAACACTCAGGTACCTAATTTGCTGCTAGGTGAACAGGACAACAGGTGTAAGGAAATGTGAAGAAACTTTTCCACCTGCCGGGAATCGAACCCGGGCCCTCCGTGTGCGAGGCGAGAGCTTTAGCCACCAGGTTACCATGTTTGGGAGTCACGAGTGCAATTTTTTATTAGTGGTCAGCTCAGCATCATCAGTTTTAGATGACTGTATTAGATAAACACTGCCAAATTGCTAAGCTGCATTGTGATGCTAACAAACATCCCCAAAACAAATCACACATGCTTATCTGCCAGAAAAGTGTTAGAGTAGTCAAAAGATTTCCAAGATGAGACTGCTGGCACTGGAAAACTCTCTCAAGATCTGCTCAACATGTATAGTAATCTATTACATGAGGCTGTAATGCCTGCTACCTATCCAAGTGCTCAAGTGAGCATCCTTCCATGAGATTTTCCTTCCACCCAATACCACTTTGTTATTCACTTTGGTTATGATTTCAACATAAACTGTCCACTGAACCAATCTCAAATAACATGCATCAAAAAGTGCTGCAGAAATTTTCGTTATTGATTTTATTAATAAAATACAGTCACACTTGGATAACATGAAAACTCTGCTCATGCTTAATTGTAACCAAGCATTGCAATTTCTAAGTGTGAAGGAAACATTTCAGGAATAACTCAAATATCAATCCATATTTAAAGCTATGAATGAACTGGAGAAAGAGTATAATGCTTCAAGACATGGCCAGTCATCCTTAGAGTATACAATATACATACTACTTAAATTCCAGGCTAAAGTCAATGACCAGAAAATTTCAAGTGTAGAACAGTCATTTCTAAATGTACTGTTATTAGTATTAATTTGCTTTCACTCCCATTTTTAAATGCATGAGTGGAATGACTGTTTCCCCAAATAAATGTAGTATAAGCAGAAAAATTGCTTTAATGTTTGGCCAAAGGAAGTCACTCTTAGAAAGTCACTACTGACTGAAGTTGAAATTAAAGTCATTTGAAACCTTTACACCAGCTGAAAGAATGATAAGAAGCCTTGCAGCCAAAGATCTCCCAACAAAAGAACCAACAGAGGAACAGGCAACACTAGACATTAGGTCCATGAAACAATTCATCTCTACTAGATTCTTCTACAGGGTAAGTACTATATCTACTAAAATATGGAATGTGCTGTTTTATGTGGGATCTGTATCAGAATTAGTCTGAGAAATGGGACAGGCTACATGAAAATTTAATAACCCAGGCATGCAAAAATCCTCACCACTACTTTCTCCCAGGCACTTGACACCCTTATCATAACAGTAAGCATGTGTAGTATCAGATACAATGGGAGAGGGAATGAGAGAGAAAAAGAGGGAAAGAGAAAGGGATAGGAGGAAGGGTAAGGAAAGACAGAAGAGAGTAATGCACATAGCTTTTAATTACACTGGGGAAAATAAATTAGATACAACATGTCAAATATTGACTGGGGAAACTCATCTCAAATTATAACATGGGTGCCTATGGGAAAAAAACACAGGTTCAATTCTGAACACTTGAGAAACTAAGTTTCAAGAACCCATTAACGTCTCAAGTTGGTTCCCTACTGTAACTCTCTTAATTGTAGATTTGGGAGGTATCAGAAAATGAGCTATTTTTCCAAAAGTTCTTCATGGTCAGGTCATTCACAGTATCTGTATGCTCAGGAACTTAACACTGTAAATTAAGAGGTGTCTACTGTGTAAAGGAACATTCAAAATGAAAGAAGCAATAACTGTTAGGAAAATAACAGTTACAAAAAACATTTAAATTTTGGCCTTCAGCCTTTCCATGCAAGGACATTGAACATAAAGAATCCCACAAACGAAGGATGAAGATAAAACAAATACAAATGAGCTAAACACACTGAAGCTTAAAAAAATGAAGCACCATATACAGCATGTTATTAAAAAAAAATACCAATACAATTCCCAATATCACTGCATTCCACTGCTGTATTCACTGCTAAATATTACAGTACCTGAAAACTGGTTTCATGAAAACTAGAAACTGAAAAATTAGTTTCACCCTCTCCCAAGTTTTTAAGTGCTTTATACTACAAAGGTTCTGAAAAATATCCTGTGATGACACAAATTTCACCACAATGGACCACCACCTATTAACAATAAGATTTCATTCAATTACAAATTGCATGCTTTATTGATTTTTTGGTTATTTGGTTGACTGATCTCTTAAGAGATAATCTTCAAGAAATACAACAGATTAGTAGTTACCTGCAACACTTACATATATTAGACTTGAAAAGCAAATAAAGTCAAGGAACAGCTACATCTACAAGCTACTACAGGAATGCAGTAATGAGAAATAACAGAAAATAAAGGTTGGTGCTTACTTGCATAATGGTTGTTAGTTGGATAATTTGAGTATGATGCACTATGTCTGTTAGTGCTAGGATAAGACCCACTTGAACCATTTGTAGCTTTCCCTGTATAGTGGTTATCAGATGCATTCTGTCCTCCCATGGATTTAGAGTAGGGGTAATATCTGTTGTCATCATCATACTCTGAAGAGTATAGTGGGATAGTGTTGGGGGCTTGTGAATTAGAGGGTGGGATGTAGCCAGGTGCAGGATTAAAATTTTCATTATGTATGTAAGCAGAAGGGTTGTTGTTATTTGATCTCGACTGTTTGCCAGAGTGATGGGGTGTAGCAGACTGCTGCTGGTTATAGGGCTTGGATTGAACATGAGAACGAGTGTGTGCTGAGTAATCTTGAGGCTGGCGAGAGTGAGGGGGAGCAGGGATTTCATGACTGTAACTGTAAGTATTACTATTATCAGTCTGTAAGTGAGAAGCTATGGTGTGGTGGACAGATGCTGTGGCTGTGGCAATGTCTCCTCCAAATGTATCAAGCCCAGAGGACCGGCCTGGAATGGTAGGTGGGGGGTTCTTAGTGCCTTAATAACTGAAACTATCTGAGGCCATGCTACTGCTGGACCCCAATGCATTAAATCAAAACTCATGCAGGGCAAAGTGCAAGTTTTGTATTACAGAAATATTAGTTTAGTTGCAATGTTACCTTGCGTACTAAAATCAACGCAATGCTTCAAGCATTGCAAAACTATCTAATAAATTATTGCAATTAGGTTATAATTAATCCCAACTATAAGCTCTGCTCCTACGATAAAATATAATGGTACTAGCACGAGCACTCTTCTTCCTGTATATTTTAAAGTCCTACTGTACTGCAGTAGTATTACATATTATGCCACTAAGAAACAGCAAATAAAGCTCTCAGTACATTATTCCCAGACTAGGCAAGAGATGCATGGCAAGTCTCATTACAGCTATTGCTCTTATTTATCGCATAGCAGCAAATAGGTGTAATACTTGGATGGAGTGTGACATTAGCTGTCAAGTGGTTAAAAGGAAACAGCAAAAGGAGGCCTTTTTTATTAAAAAATTACACCTACATGAGATTTAACCAATTACATTATCAAGAGAGACTATCAATTTGTAGTGCTCAGAAGTGGAAGAGTCAAGTGCTGGGTGAGGTTGAAGAAAGAAGAAAACTAAATGTCCAATTTGGTGTAGGTGAGGCAAGAGGTCTTATCAGGTGATGGTAAGGGACACGGCAATGGAGGGCAAATAATGTTAGGTACGGTCTGGACTGAGAGGTCAGGTTCTGGTGATTTCTCTCTCTTATGTGGTTCTGAATAGTTTTAGCAATTGCTCTCTTCTGTGTGATGGAATGAGGAATCTTTAACCTTTACATCACACAGAACAGAGGCATGTACATCTTTGCAAAACCCACCCAGACCACACCTAATGCAACCTGATCTTCACTGCCATGGACCTGACCGTCACCTTTCCTTCACTTGACAGTGGCGGGTCATCATGTGACTTAAGACTCATTTCAGAAAACAACTGTCCGGTTTTCTGATAAATCTTACCTAACCTGACTCGACAGGTCACCTCACCTACACTAGATAGGACATTTTTCTTTCCTTTGACCTCAAACTCACCCAGCACCTGACCACTACTTCTCAGTATTATATACCATACTGACTGATTCGTTTGACATATGATGTACAGTACTTGATATAAAGCCTCATGTAATTGAAATGTCACAATCTGAGTAAATGGTAATGATGTTACAACTACCAAGAAAATGTTTGGGCAAATAGACAGAGATACAACTCGTGTGACATTTTATTGTGGCAACATTTTGCTCTCCAACAAGCTTGTAAATAAGACATTTGTGTAGCTTTTGGGTATCTTTATTCTGGAAACATTTCACCAGCCACTGTCTGGCAAAACATTCCCAGAATAATGATACCCAAATGTTGCAAAGGAGTCTTATTTATGAAAACATCATAATATAATGTCTCCTTCAGCTATACGAGTCTTTTTAACCACAATACTTAGGTGTTAGTCAACTGTTGTGGTTGCATCCTATGGGTGGTACAAGTAGGTAGTGAACTTTGGAGTGGGCTGGTTTTGAAATACGTAAGCCTGTAAAATTAACAGTGAAAAAATAATGTTCACCATCAATGAATCATAAAACACTACCAGAAAATACATTAAGTATCCTAGATTCAAAATTTTCTTTGTGTCAAGCACTAGTGCACCTTCATCATTCACAAAAATTGCTTATATTACTATTTTCAAAAATTATAGACAAAAAAGTCATAGCCTGAGTAATAATACAGTGGAACCCTGGTTTTCGTCGGGTCCGGTTATCGTACAATTCAGTTTTCGACCACTTTTTCTGCAAAATTTTCCCCGTTTTCGTAAATACACTCAGAAATCGTCTGTACTAGATGCATCCGCCTGCCCATGGGACTCGGCCGCTCATACGTTTGTGACTCGGTCTGCCTTTGTTACTCATTCAGTGAGCATTACTCCGCATGTGCATCTGAAACATTTCATAATAATCCATTGTTTTTTGTGCTTGCGACTGCTAAATAAGCCACCATGGGGCCAAAGAAAGTTCTGTGTGCCAGCCCTTTGGTAAAGGTGAGAAACACAATAGAATTCAAGAAAAAACTCATAGAAAAATACAAAAGTGGTGTACGTGTGATGTTAAATGTTCATTTATCCATTTCATTAGTCATTTATATTTATTTCTCATTGTTTTCTGTATGCAAAACTATAATTATTCTCTATAAAATGTATTTTTTGTTAATATTTTTGGGTGTCTGGAACGAATTAATTGGATTTACATTATTTCTCATGGGAAATATTACTTCAGTTGTCATACAAATCAGTTTTCGGCCAACCTTCTGGAATGGATTAAAGAAGAAAACTGGAGTTCCACTGTACTTGTTTTATGCAACAGAGTGCCCTCCCTCAATGATATACTAAAACATAAGACTTAGTTCCTAAAAAAAAAACAGTAGTTAGGCAACATTTAAATGAAAAAGAATTATAATTTTTTTTTTTAATACTGGTAGTAGGTTGGTAGACAGTAACTGCCCAGGGAGGTACTACCATACTGCCAAGCAAGTGTAAACCGGTAGCCTGTATTTGTTTTACATGATGGTAGGATTGCTGGCGTCTCGTAAACATGCAAGATTTCAGGTAAGTCTTGCTACTTCTACTTACACTTAGGTCACATTACACGTGCATGTACACGTTTATGTATACACACTCATCTGAGTTTTCTTTGATTTTACCTTAATAGTTCTTTTTCTTGTTACTTTTCCAATCACATCCATGGGGAAGTAGAATAAGAATTTTTCCTCCATAAGCCATGCGTGTTGTAAAAGTCAACTAAAATGCTACGAGCAATGGGCTAGTAACCCCTTTTCCCATATATTATTTTTTATTATTAAACGTCACCTCTCTCTTCCCTCATGCTTCTATTCTCCTTTTATTCTATTCTACCTTTTACTCTCAGTGTAGCTACAACTACAAAGTGATCTGATATATCTGTGGCCCCTCTATAAACATGTATTTCCTGAAGTCTACTCAACAGTCTTTTATCTACCAATACATAATCCAATAGCCTACTAAAAAAAAAAGTCAAAGGGGGATGTTTGAATGTGCGTGGTTGTAGTGTAAATGATAAGAAAGAGATGACTGTGGGTGTTATGAATGAAAAGAAGCTGAATGTTCTGGCTCTAAGTGAAACAAAGCAGAAGAGGGTAGGAGTTTCAGTGGGGAGAAATAAATGGGATTAGGTCAGGGGTTTCTAACAGAGTTGGAGCTAAGGAAGGAGTAGCAATAATGTTGAAGGAAAAGAAGAAATATAAAAGTATAAATTCAAGGATTATGTGGAGTAAAATAAAGGTTGGATGCAAAAAGTGGGTTATAGTAAATGTTTAGGAACCTGGAGAAGAGAGAAGTGTAGAGATGGATTGATTTTGGGAAATGTTGAGCGAGTGCATTGAGAGTTTAGAACTAAGTGAGAGAGTACTTGTGGTTGGGGATCTTAATGCTAAAGTGGATAAAGATATTGTAGAGGGAGTAGTAGGTAAATTTGGGGTGCCAGGGGTAAATGAAAATGGGAAGCCTTTAATTCAACTATGTGTAGAAAGAGGTTTGGTAATAAGTAATACATATTTTCTAAAAAAAGAGGATAAGTATACTAGATATGATATAGCATGTAATGGGAATAGTTTGCTGGATTGTGTAATGGTGAATAAAAGGTTGATGGGTTGGCGTCAGGATGTACGTGTTTATAGAGGGGCAACAGATATACTGAATCATTATCTATTTGTAGCTACAGTTAGAGTATGCGGTACATGGACAAAAGGAAAAGGGCAACAGTAAGAGAGGTGAAAGTTTATAAAGTAATGGAAGAGGAAGTTAAGGTGCGATATAAGCAACTTCTGGCAGAAAGGTGGACTAGTGCAAGCATGGGTAATGGGGGGATTGAAGAGGGATGGGATAGTTTTAAAAATGTAGTATTAGAATGTGGGGATGAAGTTTGTGGCTATAGGAGGGTGGGTGCAGGAGGAAAGAGGAGTGATTGGTGGAATGATGAAGTAAAGGGTGCAATAAAAAAGAAAAAGGTAGCTTATGAGAGGTTTTTACAAAGCAGAAGTGATATCATGTGGGGGTTCGAACACGTGGATTGGGTCAAGTAATACTCACGTAGGCTGGAAGTACGTATAATTATAACGGTAAGTATGGAAGAGCCAAACAGCCGTGGCCTGCCTCCTTGCTCACTCTCGTATAACTGACCGCCCACAGTGCCCATATGTGAGGGGGTCTTTGAAATACTGCTGTGGTCAGCACAATATGAATACAGACAGTGACTCAGGCAGAGATGGTTGGTAGTGAGTCATCTACTGGTACACTGGTTACTGGTAACTGGTTACTACTACTGAGAGCTCCGTGACGCTAACGTATGTCGTCCCGACATACAACTAATACAAACTAGAGATGGCAGGTGTACGGCTTGGGCTGATTCTATACAATGTCAAAGTACACAACAATTGAACATTATAACATACATAAATAGAACATTGGAATGGATGGTAGGCTGAGGCAGGCTGACTAGCATTCACTTCCACAGTCTGGCTTACTGACTGGCTTAATTGCAAAATCCGGGTCAACCCCTCGGAGATTGAAGCAATTAGCACACAAACTAAGCCAGGAAGCTTGAAACGGCTGCAACAGGCTTGCAGGCTACAGGGTGGAGGTTGTGAGGGGAGCGGCTAGCTACGGTTCACCTTTGACCCGCCGGCTACTCACAAACAGTCTTCTAACATTTTGAAATACCCTTAAAAAGCTTAAATCCACGCTCCACACAGTTGACACCATTTATCATGTGGGGGTTCGAACACGTGGATTGGGTAAAGTAATACTCACGTAGGCTGGAAGTACGTATAATTATAACGGTAAGTATGGAAGAGCCAAACAGCCGTGGCCTGCCTCCTTGCTCACTCTCGTATAACTGACCGCCCACAGTACCCAT